CTTTTACCAGGGCGTCCCGAAGGGAGCAGAAAGCAGCCTCCTCCTCTTGACCCCAGTGGAACCGAACCCCTTTAGATGTTAAAGCGTGCAGGGGTTTGGCAATTGTCGCAAAATCAGCGACGAACCGTCGGTAATACGACGCGAACCCAATGAAACTCCTGACCTCTCCCACCGAGGTGGGAGTCGGCCAGGAGCTGACACACTGCGTTTTGGCGGGATCAGTAGCAATACCTGAGCGTCCCACGATGTGCCCCAAATAACGCACCGAATCGCGCAACAAATGGCATTTTTGGGGTTTGAATTTCAAATTAGCAGCCCGCATCTTTAGGAAAACCGCCCGCAACCTCTGGAGATGTTCGTCAAAAGTTTTACCAAAGACGATAACGTCATCCAAATAAATGAGGCACGACTCCCATTGCAATCCAGCCAAAACCAATTCCATCAAACGCTGGAAAGTTGCCGGCGCTGAGTGTAAGCCCATCGGCAACCGGTTGAATTGGAACAGGCCGTGCGGTGTACGGAAAGCAGTTTTAGGCTTTGAATCATCGTCCAGAGGAAGCTGCCAGAATCCCGAAAGTAAATCGAGTGTGGAAAAGAATCGCGCTCCCGCCAAGGCGTCCAGCGATTCATCCATCCGAGGGAGCGGGTATGCGTCGGCAACCGAAATTTTGTTAAGGCGCCGAAAATCAACGCAAAACCGCAACGATCCGTCCTGCTTTTTAACCAGGACGATCGGCGCTCCCCAAGGGCTGGTGGAAGGAGAAATGATGTCGGCGGCCAACATGTCATCAATAGCCGATTTGACATGGTCCTTTTCGGCGGGACTCAACCGAAACGGATTTTGGCAAATTGGCGCGCTGTTACCCGTGTCAATATGGTGACGCAGCAGGTGAGTACAACCCAAATCGTATTTATTCCGACTAAAAACGTCGGAAAATTCCCGCAGTAGTGTTTTAAGTTGTTGACGCTCTGAATCTGACAGGTCCGTCGATCCCGCACAAAGCGCCTCGAGCCACCCTTCATCGCTGTCCGAATGAGGTCGCGGCGCAGGGACAACGCTGACGTGATTTGCGACGGTTTCCTCACATGGCACCGGCGTTGCGTGAGCAAGCACGGTTCCCTGTGGGACCACCACCGTCTGCGAGCCCACATTGAGGACCGCGATGAAGGGTTCACCGTCCCCTCTTACTATGGTCTGGGCCGGAAGTAAATGAGGTCCACTAACCCCGGCCCTAGACGGCCCCAGCAGAACCCCTTGGGCCGCAATACCCTTAGCGAAGGGTCGCCGAAGTTTCAAGGGAATCAACATTTGTGCCCCCGGAGGGACGCGCACCGTTCTCTCTACGAATGCCGGCACCGTCGCGAACGCCGTCCGAGTCGTAACGGGTGATGGCAAAAACGCCATGCGTCTGCCCGACGGGAGCTCAATGCATCCCTGGTCGATTAATATCCTAATCGGCATTTTGGCCAGGAAGTCTGTCCCCAGCAGGCACGGAACCGCCAGCGAGGAGGAAACAAAAATCGGCCCAGACAATTTAATTTCCCCAACACAAATTTGGGCCCGAATTTGTCCGATGATGCCAAGTGAGCCCCCGTTAGCCGCATAGAATGGTACGTTAACAGGCATCAAAGCACGGCTCTGGACAGGGAGAATATTGTATATTAACTCCGAAATAATGGTCGCCGATGCTCCCGTATCGACCAGGATGCGCACTTCAACCCCGTCGATGTGCCCCACAACGGCCGACGACCCCGACGATGCGGCTACCACACGATCGGCCAGCACGGACCACTGGCCGGGTTCGATATGAGTACCCAGAGTGGTGCGTGATGGTGCGATGGTGCGCGATATCGGCTCCCTCTCGTTGCGGTGTTTGAGTGCGTGACGGGCGTGTGCGTGGGCCAAACATGTGGGGTGCCGCGACTCGCCGGGTTATGATGGTGGAGCTTGTGATGAGGCCCGTCGTCCCGTTGAGGTGTCGTCCCGCGCTGACGAGGAGAGCGGCACCCCGAGGCGACGTGGCCCCGGACGCCGCAGTTAAAACACCGCGGGAGCGCCGTCGGAGGTGACGGATGGTCGGAACGGCCCGACCCGTCCCGGCCCGACCGTGCTCCCGTCGCCTGTTGCCGTCGGTGGTCGACGGCGTAGAGCTCCTCCGTCGGAAGGGTGGCTGCAGCCACCGCACGCCCCGCCGATGCCCTGCTGGCTTTCCGCCGGAGCGACAGGAGGTTTGCGTGGAGGAGCCGCGCCGCCTGGAGCGATGTCATTTCCGCGTCGTCCTGCGCGACGACAGCGATGTCAAGGTCGTCTGCCAGGAGGAGGATTTTCTCTGTGACCATAGCATCCACGCCGTCGTCGTCCATACGGGGGAAGGCCGACTTAGCCATCGCCAGGAGGCTCGTCCGGTATGCTAGGGGCGACTACTTCTCACCCCGCTTGCGTTCGTAAAATTGCTGTCGGCATTCGGCTGATGGTCCATAGACCCCGCCCAGCAGCTGTAGCGCCATCGGTAACGTAGACTGCTTCTCTCTCGGCGCCGATGTGAGTGCGGCGAGCGCGTCGCCGTCGAGGAGCGCCGGCAGCGCGCAGAGAGCCTCCTCATCGGACCATTTCGCCATCTCCTGATGGGCGAGGAAACGTCGGCGAAACCCGGCCCAGTCTCCCTCCGCGCCGATGAACTCCTTCAGCGGGGGCAGTCTCTGATGAAGCGCAGCGGTTGTTGTAGACTCCCGCAGGTAGATGTCACCACCACTCGGCTGTGCGTCGGTGCGAACGGCCGATGGGATCGCCTGTCGCGGTTGTGATGACGCACCCTCCGGCGGTGATGACGCTGCAGCTCCAGCGACGGCGATGTCGGAGCGGATGTTCAGGCTGGCCACGCCCTGAACAGCTGTAGCGTCGACGGCGGGAATTTCAAATTCGGACTGCTCCGAAATGGCAGGAAGGTGCCCTGGTCGTTGGCTCGCCTCGCCCCGTGTTGGATCACCGGCCCCCAATCGCGTGATGGTCTCCAGCGTGGCGGCAGCGGCATACAGCAGCTCCGCCAGCCTCCCGTGAGCCAGCCGTAACGCGTCTGACTGCGGCCCCTCTTCATTTCGATGCCCCGGTAAGGAGGCGTCAGGCCCCGGCTGCACCATGTCTTGTGGAGCCGTCTCGGGCTCGACGATCTCGGCAGTGTCTTCCTCCTGCGGTACTTTTGCCCGCGCTGTTTTCCGCGTGTCCATGTTCGAATTACTTCTGACACCAGTTGAAGTACCGGTGAAGACGCTTGACGCCGAGGTTGAGGCACACGTATATTTATTTCACAATACGACAGTGGGCATATACACACTTGAGGGGGTATCGGCCCCCTCACCCGTATAACTCGGGATACACCCCTAGCTAACTCTGTCCTAGCCCCGAATCTTCCACTAATGGGCTAGGGGAGGCTAACTGGCCCGACACTGGTAAGTCGGGCCCGGTACCCAGAGTTCCAGACCAGCTCTTACAAGAGCACCGGCTCTGGCTTTCGGGACCACGCCGCTGACTCAGTCCTGTCCGGCCCTGAAAAGGACATCGAACTAGGGGAGTCCAGGGCTCTATCTAAGACGTCTTCAGTCTTCTTCCCTTAGCTTAAACATAACTGCCTCGAGCCCTTTGAACATCCCCTTTTATACCCAACCCCTCCCTGAGGGGTGGGGCCCCGGGGGATCATAACGTTCGAACCAGCCCCCCCCAGGGTGTCTGGCTCGGACGTCGTAGAGGGCACCTCCTCGTGCACTTATGTAGCCCCGCCCACTGTGTTTGTTTTCCATAGGCTGCCATGCATAACGGGCCCTCTCTTTAACACCCCTACACTCACATCACTGCTGAGCCTGCACTAGAGGGAGATCTGTGAGGTATTTGGAATTTTTTTATGATCATACGACGTCACGGAAGAAGCACACTCAAACTTTATCCCATCACACATGGTCTGTTAGTATACTTTCCTGTACCCATTTATACTGCTGGATGGACAGAGAAATTGAGATGCAGTAAACTTCCCTGATTGTTTCAGTGTCCACCCCAGGAGATGAAATCAAACAATAAATGTTTGCATTTGTCCAGTATTCTAACCATACAACAAAAGCAGTGCACTACATTTCACAGCGATACACACGGGTCATAATACAGCCTGAGATAAAAAAAAATTGCATCAGCAAATCTGTTTGTCAGTCTTTAATTGACGCTGTCTCTAAACTTGATGCGATTCTAAGGTTTATTCAGTCGACTGAGACTTGCTAAAAAAAAGGTCACTGTTGACCGTTGATTTGAGTGAGGGCACGCGATTTTTTGGCCTGCCAATGAGGGCGAGCGCCTGGGGCAACAGCAGCAGCAGCTTGCGTGCCTTACGAGCCTGAGGTAGGACTGTAGCATCATTTGTCGTCTTAAACTGCGATGGGATAGCACAGCAAGTAGAGCGTTGGGATGGTGTCGTACGTCTCAATGCTTGAGGATTCGGGCTAGGAACCGTCCGACCAAGTCTAGAGCACGAGTCAAATTTCGTCTAGGGCACGAGACAAAACACGGAGGCACTCGTCACCAGGCTGGGTGTGATACTGCAATACGTCGTGTTCAGTTTCTGACAGCATTCGTGTTCTGACTACTTTGACATCCAAAGAACTGGTTTTGATGCACCGGTGTACCACCAAGACTATAATTTGCGGAATACTAAGAACCATTTTTTTCTTACAATGTATTTTTCATTTATCTTTCAGTAATGCAACAAAAACTATTTTAACAACTGCAACCAAAATACACATTTCCCGCGCCTGGTATGCAGGAGGTCGTGGGATCGATCCAACCTATTTACGTGACTTGACCGAAATACCCAAAGAATATGAATTCCTGCAGTCACGAAAGCTTTAAGTCAAGATGCCTCCTGTGTTATATGCTTTTTAGCATCTTGAATGTGGCAAAAATATCACTTAACAGAATATAAGACAATGAGGCAATGCAATGCAAACACACTGGATTGGTCTCTAAAATGACTTTATTATGCAATAAAGGTGACAAATCAGATATTAATTATCGGCCCATAAACCTTTATCCTGCAATTACACACATATTCACCTAAATAATTATCCCAAAAATGTAGTAGATTAGGTAACAACCAAACAATAGAAAAGGCTATTTTTTTAATCACTCAACAAACGAACGCCTTAAAACAATCACATAATAGAGATATGCATTGAGTACAAATAAGAATTCCTAATTACATTCATATATTTTTTGAATTCATTTGATTTTAATAGAACAAGCATATTATCAGCTCTAAGTGAGTTTAAACACAACATAACTTTGAGGAACACCTGCAATGGAGGCATTGCCTGCATTAAATGTGAGTGCCCAGCTTAACACGTGTGTGGCCAATTATGCATTAATTCATTATTTTGGGTTATGCCACGTAATGATCTGACCCAATCTGTGTCGTTAGAAAAACCTCCACAGCCAAAAAAACTAATTAGAATAACAATCGCCCACTTCAGCCATTGTTTCTTGCTGTGGTTGTCCCACCTGATGACGGACGCTTGTGTTGCACCCGAAACGTCGTGATTTAATTTATTTTATTTTATACCTACGTGATTTTACTGAAAGAACCAAAGAGTACAGTCATTTTGTCTTCCTGGATATTTACTCTGACTTTCTAGATATATGCGCTGAAGATGCCTACCTACGTCAGACCTAATTAAGTAGCGTAAAATGGCTGGATTTAGATAGTACTTAATGTGTATAAATTGCAATAAAATGTTCACTTAGTATATGATGCATATTAAATGCTACAGATTGTTGCATAGTATAAGCTATAAGACATTTAACAACATTTTTTGGAATATATGCTGCAATTAAATGTAATAGAAGTATGTAGTCATATTCAGCCGATATCAATGTACTGCTGGATGTAGGCATCCCAAACTGTCACCATCTCTCTAAATCCTGTATCCTAATTATCCACATAGCCACATATTTCTTGAAGGCTTCACTCGTTTTTTAAAGACCCACCTCTTTTTTGAACGCCCACATATCTGTCAACGGTCTCACCACTTATTTATAGATCAACATCTTTCTTAAAGGTCTCATATTTCTTTTGCCTTGGCTTTTGAGTGACACTGAACTTGGTTCTGAGCTGCAAAGTCGTTGTCATTTTATGTCAACGATATGGATAAAGTTGTACATATGTGGAAAGGTATTTATTTAATTCATTAACACATTTGGGAGGCTGACTATAATGTGCAGGTGAGCGGAAATGTCCATATTCACCACGTCAATTCGTTCAAGATATATATTGAGTGCGAACCACTTTCATGTGAGAGAGATACAGAAGGGATTGTTGTGGCAGGATGTGGAGCCATACACATCGAGGTCCTATGGGCAGGGTCGTCCATAGGTGGGTGCAAGGCCAGGAGAAAATCCCACTGTGTGGGCACCATGACGCCTTCAAACTAAACCGGAAGTGGTGCATCTTACAATTTGACATTGAAACGCCCCCCTCCCCTTAATTGTGGGAGCAGATCAGAGGGGGTTTAATGAAATCATGTATTTTATAATTAAATATGTTAATTTGAAAACATGACATATGGTACTGGTTGGGTCACAGTTCATCAATATATATTCACCTGAATATTCATGCATTAAACAGTGTTACTTAACAATCTGCTTTCAATCAGCACTAAGCATGTAGCTGTCAGAATTGTAAAAAAAAAAAAAAATCTTTCAATTTCAATAGATTCTCGAATTAGTCTTGCCCAGTAATAATTCGTTTTATACAAAACATCAACGTTATCAAACTAATTTGAATTTATTTTCAGCCTTCATTTCACTGCTGTATGAAGTTCTCCTCATGGCTTAGTCATGTCGGTTATTTTACTATACTTCACCACACTGGACAGTGCGAGTTGGTGCAATAGAGGCCCAGAACCAACTCTAATATCCCTTGCCATTGGGAGAAATATGATCCAGCAAGGATTGATCATGGCTGATAATGATTATTGGCTAATAATGGATGATAGTGTTGATATATTGCACAATTGATCTGCAGCAATACTCGCATCTTGAGTACAACTATCCAACAACCATGCTTAGCTGATGATGCATTTTTTCTTTGATTCATTCTTCATCGTCTTCTCGTGGTTCTGCTGTATTTCTTGGATGTTCTCATCCGTGTGCGTCTTGATCACTTGCGTATGCTTGCTGAATGTATTCTGCAATTTCTGAAAGAAAACCATATCATGCTCACGACCGAATTTATTTTGTCGAAATAATTTATAGAGGTGACCTCAGGAGGAGGTGAGATGGCTGAGCGGCAGCAGATTTTCCGCTTTTTTCAGGAGTTCGAGGACATCAGCCACCCTGGTAAATACTGATATATGTATTTACCACACACAAATCACTGTTAAATATCCTGTGACATTCCGATAATACCAGATTGTATGTTCTGGAATGGCAGTCCAAATTTTCAAAATTGTATGAATGAATCGACTGACAGGCTGTCCACTTTCAGATTGGGACAACTGCCACTGCAGGATCTCTTGGCTAGAATAGCGCAGATGTACTGCATGGGAGGCACGGTAGACATAATACATATTATGAAAACGACGATGATGATCAAGGTGATGTGGATGGTGATCACCATATCGTTGACAGGAGGGGATAGGCCTGGCCACCAGTATCTGTAGTACCCATGCAGCCCTTTCGTCAGTCCAATGTTGGATGAGGGCTTCACCAAGCTGTATAAGCCCTGGGGATTATTTTACCCCACTGGTCACTACGGGGTGGTGATAGGAAACAGAGACGTGCCCACCACTTAACCTCGCAGCCGCCTATGACAACTTGTGGTGCGGAGTGGTTCTTGCCCATCCAAGCACTATCCATGATCGTTACTACTCAGCTTGCGAGATCTGCCGATATTGGGCAGATTGTGGGTGATTTTGCAATTGTGTAATTTATATTCTGTTAATTATGACATTGGTGGCACAGTGGTGCAGTGCTTTGCACAGTGCACCTTGAACCCGTAGTCTGAGTTCAATTCCTCACCATGACAAAGATTGGTGGAGAGTTCCCCTTTCCAACCTACACTGACAAGCATGGCGAAGTATGCTTCAATAATGCAAGCAATCTGCATGACATGGGGAGGACCTCATTCAGTAGTGGACTGAAAAACGAATATACTCCAACTATTGTGGCCCTTAACACTCACTCAAACTTAGTTATTGTTCCTAAAGTCAAAAGAACAAGTATGCTAAATTGAAAACTCACTTCTTATAACTTATTTTTGTGTTTAGTTTTGTTGTCCTTTCCCCATGCCCCCCAATTAGCACGGTTAGCTCTGTACGGTGCAAAAGGTGAACATGTACAGTATACATAGAAACCATTAGAATATGTCAGAAAACACAACTGAATATGAGTATCTAGGATAGTTATTCAAGGTAGAACGGGATACAAATAGTTAAATGAATAGGCAGACAAGAGCAAGTTGGAAATCTGAACTTGATCATATAAATCAACATGTCCACGTGCATTAGAAGGGTTTTAATCCGTGTCTAATACCTGCTATGACATTTGAATGCGAAAGAAAAACAGTAATAAATTAAGTTGAACAAAAACTGAAAAGTGTACAAAACATTTAAAGGTTCACGCTTGGAATTACAATGATAGGAAGAGGAGCACATGGATGAGCGAACAAATGTCAGTTAGAGACTTCACTTGGCTGTTGAGGTGACTTAAGCTGGCTCAGTGCTCTAAGCTCAAAGCTTAGAGCACTGAGGCAGCTGGCACCTGTGATTTAACTGAGGTGTCAAGTGTAATGAGCTGTAATGAATTGATGGTTTCAGCCTTGTCTCATCAATGTTATCATGAAGAAAAATGACTAATTATGTAATACTTAAAAGAAAACAAAAACGAAGGAATTTCATGAATATATGCATAGATTCTATAACGCTTTCAACACGCGGTTCTCTCCGCCTATCTTTTTCTACTGTACGTCAGGATTAAAAACATAACCTGCTCAGGTGTCTTGTTTAATATGGTGACAAAATAGAGAAAGTAGCATGATCTTCATCTTGAATCAAGTGTAATTTATACCTCCAGGCTTAATTTAATCAATAGCTTTGAGAGAAGCTCGACAAATACTATCCAGTCCGCTGGAGAGCGGGCATATATTGCAGTTGTTCGTGATGTGTTTTTTTGTTTGGGTGGTTGCAGTCACTGCACTGTGCGTAATATTTAAGTTATCTACTCGTGGAAGAGGTGTGCACAGCGACCAGTCATTGTTCTGAAGCAGTTCATCGTGCCACAACAGCATTTCAGTTCGCCCATTATTGTAAAGGTTGCTGTTAATCTGGATATACAATTTCTTCGTGTGGGCACTCGAAGCCCAGACTGGCTTCGAGTGCCCACACGTTCGATGGTAACTGGCACAGTTACCATCGAACGTGAATTCCAAATTGATATTTATGTCGTTGTTATTTCGATGGTAGATTGATAGAATAGTTTTGGATAGATGGAGCCGTACTCATTACCTTCAAAAGTAGTCTTCTAATACAGATAGGTTTTCCATTAGTGTGTCGCTTAATGATCTTTAGGTGTGTTCCCTGAGAAGCCATCGCTATTTCGTCTTCATGGATACGTTTGCAGGATTATATATTTGCAAGTCGCTGGTGAAGATTAAACAGGAACGGAGCCGGTACTGATCCCTGTGGTAGGTCGTCGTTGACCACTTTTGTATGTATACTTTTGTATGGCTTGTATTTCTAGAAAGGTATACCTGGGAATACTGGTTGATGAGCATCGAATTTTAACATATTCAGTGCATAGCAGCGCTTGATGATGCATACTGCCTTGAGAAGGAGCCCTTGTTTCTAAATAGTGTTATAGATGGATGAGATGTCTATCATGCCGGTACTTTAGTTATATGCTTTTGCTAGAATCCAGCTTCGATATGGCTCGTGAGAGATCAGTGCGCGCTTCATCAATTAGTATGCCCTTCCTTACCTGTAACTTGAGGTCTAAACTTCTGGTTTTTCCTTTTTCAGCAGGGCAACGACTATTGTTCCCTGCCAGGCTTAAATAAATAGGATTAAAATAAGGCCACTCGACAGTTTTAGCCAAACAGTCCCAGGTTGTTGAGCAATTTGGGATAAATGTTGTTTGCGGCATTTAGGCTATAGCGGTTCGTCATGCATCAATAATCTCTTCCCTCTAACACCTGGCCTCTTCTGATGGTGTTGGCCGATGATTCGTTGGTGGCGACTCTTTCTGTCACCTCATAGTCTGTAAGGGCTTGCTTGATGTAAGTGGCAAGGACCAATTTTAGATGGTTGATGGTGAAAATAAACGTCCTATTAATTTATTTAATAGTTTGAGTCGATTGTCTCCAGCATGGGTTTCCTGGAGCACAAGAACGTAGATATTTTTTTGGCTTAACACTTCGGGGGCACATCACATTTTACGTGAAAATCCTTCCACTATAACTTTGACGGGGGGACAGTCCTCTACTCAGAGCAGGAATCTGCCAAACAACAGGGACTGTCTTCTCTTCTAAACAAAAGAAAGAAGGAAGTTTGGGAGCATGACAGTGATGTGTGGAAGCTGTAACTCCCAGACTACTGTAGGCTCGCCCCCAATCAATGGAAGTTGCGGAATGGTGGTGTTGGTGGTGGTAGCTTACGCACCCACTGAAGACGAATATCAGTGGAGGGATGCAGGCAAAGCAGATGGGTCAGATGCATTCTATGAGCGCCTGTCACAAGTACTTGCTAAAGTGGCACCTCAGGATGAATTCATCTCATTAGGTGACTTTAATGCCGAGTGGGTCATGACACTGGCACCCAGGCTGGAATGGTTGGAAAGCATGAACCAAGTCAGTTCAATAATAATGGTAGAAGGATGCTCGACTTCTTTTCGGGCCCATGTGCTTGTAATTACTACCACACTTCCAGCATCGGTGGATCCACACAGCATTGATACATGCCTGGTCCAAGCAGGAAAATCTGCTGGTGACAACAGCAGATGAAGGCCCATATCCTACTGTGGAGCTGGCCATCGGCTTATCATCTGTAAAATGTCATAATCGCTTGCAGCTGGAGATGACATCGCCCCCCTCCTGCTGATGCTGAGGGGAAATGGTTCTGTGTCAGGACTGTGGATCATGCATCTTCCATGGCTGCATTCGATACGTGGTCCAGACCTCCTTAGAAAACTAGGTTCAGGAGGAGATGTTGTGGCTAGGTGAGAAAAAGTGTCAGGCGCACTGCCATAGTCTACAGCATCCCATGTCAGAGGCTTAGAGAGCCATGCAGCACTGCAAGGATAAGTGGCTGTTGCGGTTTGCTGAGCAAACGGATGCGGCCTCATTAGTCTGCGATCACAAATCACAATTTAATTCCATAAAAAAGTAACTTGCAATACCTCATCTATTCCCATTCTTAGAAGAAAGGATGGTGAACTATCTTTGACCCCAGGAACAGGTTTTCAGGTTTTATGAGCATTTCTCTGAGGTCTTGGGGGAGGGGAAATCCCTCATCTCAGATAACATCATGGGGAAAGGTGGGGATGATGGGACTGCGATTTATCAAATATTGGAAGTAGTCACTCCTCTGAGGGAATTGCTAAGGGGCCATCTATTGAGGAAGTACAGAAGGCGATTTAAAGTTTGTGAACAGGAAAAGTGCTGGCCAGAGTCGATCTCCAAAACGAACTGCTGCGGGAGGGTGGCATTTGTATGCAGACTGTCCTATATGACATTATTACAACCACAGTCTGGACCACTGGATGGGTTCCGCAGGATTGAAAGAATAATTAAAGATCGTCTTACCAGGCACGCTGAGGAGAGGCTTGCGGAGCCCCAATGTGTTATCAGGCTAGGGTAGCCTTGCACAGACACCATGTTCCAACATGACCAACAGCTCTGCTAATTGAGCTGGTCGAGGCCTAAAATCCCATAAATAGGTCAGGGCTCTAGGTTGTTCTTCGTCCTTTCAGAATCCCAGACTCACTGCTCACAATTATTAGGGACCTTCATGATGGTGGGTATGCCCAGGTAAAGCTACGTGGCTGGGAGCCACAGCCATTCCCTGTTCACCTTGGGGTGCGACGGGGATGTCCTTTGTCTCCTGCATAATTTAATAACATTTTCGTCCATGTACTTCGGGAAGGTTTCTATAGCTTTACTGGGGGAATTCCTATCTGGTACACATACAACTGATCGATGCCCGGGTGCGGTAGAGGGATGGTTTTAATTTTGGTCAACCAAGTTATGATTGCAGAGGATCTGGTGATTGCTGATTACTCAAAACATGATATGGAGCCTCACTTACTGAACGTCGAGCATGCTATTAAGAGGTGGGGCCTTACCATCAGCCCCACCAAAGTGACGTGGAAAACCTGGTATAATCACCTTGTACTGATTTTGAAGTAATGAAATTTCCTTCTCCTGGTTGGCTTGTTCTGCTTTCATGTTCTTTATCTGCAGTGCCATGATCTTTTCCTTCTGCTTGTTCTCTGGAAAATAATTCAACGACATTTATTTACACACCTCCGCCCAACGTTAATGCTTTCTAATGTTGAAAGCGTTTTTTAATCAGCTATGTTTGTCTGCTCATCAGTCGTGCTCCACATAATGTAGAGTATAATAAGGTGTGGAGCCAGGCTGTTGAGAGGGACAGAATAAGGTAGGCACGAGGTGCCAGTTTACAGAGGGTTTTCCACCAGGATTTGTAGAAGCTGTTTTGGACATCCAACATACGATTGCTCAATTAGAGTGAATCCCTACCAAATCCCTCCAATCCCATGTTGTGTTATAAGTTCCGTGGAAGTCCTAATACATATGTAAATCTACAAGAGTGACTCTGGGGAGCATGTGAGAATGAGGTGTGGGGTCGTCACTAGATCGGCTCATCACTATCTGGGATGACGCTAAACTTTTATAATGAGGAGGTGGGCGGCATGCATGATAACTGTTATAAAGAATTTTATATTAATCCAACTTACATTTAAAGTTATGTTAATATTAGGAGCTTATGCTATTAAAATGTATCAAGGAGGTGCCTAAAACTTGAGACAAAGCCAATGCTTAAAGGCCTGCGTGCCCTACAAGCACAGCTGCTAAACTACTCATTGTCCTATCGCAGCCTTCTTGCGTACCCAATGAGACTGCTACCATTATTATCACTGATTTCATATTTCCTAAGACATATTAAAATGCACGACATTATCCATGTATATACATGCGTTTTTCTCTTGTTACTGAGTGAATAGACATTGCTGACCTCTTGGATTAACCTGATGCCAATGGCTATTTGTGATTGAGGAATAAAGTTGCATTTTCTTACCCAAGTCCTGCTGTTGAAAGCTGGTCAACGTCTTGTCTACTATTAGGATCGCATTACCACTCTCCTTCTTCTGCTCCAGAAATTCCTTGTACATCGTCTCCATCTGCAAAGGTGGAAAAAGTGAAGGTACAGCCTTTTAATTACATTAACACAAGGTTCCACCTGGTAATAAGAAGCCACATTGTGTGAATCTCATGCCCAACAAGGCTTCATGAACCAGGCTTATGCTGCTGTACAATCTTCTGCTACTGCTATTTATTGGATGTTCCAACACAAAAGGCCATGTACACAGTAACATAGTCTGTGAATTAACTCCACCACAGCTCTCTATACTTCATAGGAGTTGAACTGCATTGTTGTGGATTAAGTGCATGGGTACAATAAGGGCTTGCGTAACTTCAAGTGATGACTAGGGGTTTTATTAAGGTCCTGACGAATTTGAAGACGACTGTTTTCCTCTAATTGAAGGACTTCCTGGAGGGTTGCAGCATTTCGGCAGATGAGTGGGGGAAAGATGTGTGATAGTACAGGCAACCAGTATGTTGGGGTCGACTTGAGAATTTCAGTGATACACCGCATTGCATTGTTCAGTTCGACATCAATACGTCGAGTGTGACTACTTCTAGTCTATACTGGGGAAGAGTATTTGGCTACAGAGTATACAAGAGCCATCATTGATGTCCGTAGCACTGGTGCTGATGCTGCCCAGTTTGTGCTTTCTAGTTTATAGCCCATTTTGACCCTTGTTTTGGTCTTGGACACATTTTCAGATAGTCGTGGACGGTTAGCGTATGGTCTCCGAGATAGGTTGGAGTGAGGTCGCATCGCACATTGTTGCCACAGAAGGTCGCTTTCAGATTGTGTTTGGAACTCCTATTATCAAGATGAAATGCAGTGACTGTTGTTTTCTGGGGATATGGCTTGAGCCTTCATTTCAGAAAAAAAATCCCCCAATGGTGTTTAGATCTTGGTCATTGAAAGTGGCTGCCAGGGCAAGGTTATCCGCATATTACATTTGCGTGACCCGGTTGATGGCACGTCACTCGTGTAGACATGAACCTTGCGTCAATCCATGGTTGAGGAACCAGTGTGAGCTAGCATTGTTGCCCATAGAGACACACAGTTGCCTATTGCTTAGCATCATCCATATCAGGCGTATTGTTTTGAGGAAAGGAATGGTCCCTGCGAGCTTCAACATCAAGCCCTTAATCCAGACTGTGCTGTAGGATAATGACAAGTCCACAGAGGCTGTGCCGGTCTTGGATTTCTTCTAGAATGTGGAATTGATGTGATTCGCAAGGGCAAAAACTTGTTCACAGAAGCTGCATCAAGGGCGGAATCTTCCTTGTTCTTCAGGGATCACTGACTCCACAAGCAGGCGGATTCTCTGGAGGATGTTGCATTCCAGATTTTGTAGGTTGTGCACAAGAGTGACATAAACCTATAACTTCCTGGGTCATCAGTTGGCTTGCCCCGTTTGGGAATGCCAATGACTATATTCTTCCGCCATGCTTTTTAGATGAATCCAGTTGTCATGTATTTTGTGTATAGATTGCCAGCCATTGGAGTCCCCTATGGCCTAAGTAATGTAGAGATTCTGGGGAGATATACCATCTGTGCCAGCAGCCTTGCCTTTCTTCATTGTGTAGCGCCATTGTTAGGCTGTATGCATGTTACCATTGGAACTTACCTGTAGTAGCGGACATGTGTCAACAGGGGCTGGTAGACAGGCGAGGTGGGATAAACCGGGCCGTTGGGCCACTAGGGTCCCCAGACCCCAAGAGGGGGGCTGGGGGATATTCCAGGGCCCCCTAGACAGTTCCAGAAGGGAGGTGGGGCTAGGGGCGGAGAGATCCTGGAACGGGTATAAATTCCGGACCCCTGAACGGGTCCAGCAGTCCTCGTCCACCTGAAGACCAGAAGAGCTACCCTGAAGACCTGAAGCAAAGAACCCAGTGGGCAGAACCCGGACCCCTGGCTAGGGTCGGGTTCAGACATAACCAGTGTAGGGTTAGCGCTATAACCAGAGTCAGGGCACGTTAGTCCAGAGGGTCTACCTCCTTAGGATATCGGGTGTGAGGGGCCGTTACCCCTCTGTGTTATGTTTCCCTAGTTGAAATAAACGTGTTGCCTCTAGCGAACCATTTCTCCTTGTCTTGGTCCCACTACAATTACATACAGACCCTTGCTCACTTACTCTGTACTGATGGTGGTGTGGTCTTGTAAATATATTTAAGCCAATTCTGGTGTAATTGAAGATAGATCCCTCGCTTGATGTTTTTTTTGTGAAGGGTCCTTTTGTGTTCTACACTAGTTTGGAGGCTAAAGAGTTGGGCAATCTGCCACTCAAAGTGCCCTACTAGAACAAGGCCTGTAGCATTGCTATAATTGGGAATCAGAAACATTTACAACCATTCTCATTGCGAAGATATGGCCACATTTCAACAAAGTAACAAAAAAATTATGTTTTATTTAAATAAACATTAAGGCAGTGCTCATGTTTTGATTACAACCCCGAGTAAGTGGTTTAAATTACACATTTCTCTTGTGGCTCAAGTATATAAGTTCAAAACCCACTATTGACTTCTCCACAATGTGGCGCTCATTTGTTGAGCCCGGAGGGATGATGGATTGAGACAGCTACCAATCAGGATTTGTTTGAGAGTTACTTACTATTCTGCTGAGCCACATGACCAGTTAAGATGTATTGAGTCCAATTACAAGCATTGCTTCATTTATTTGCTTTCTTTAGTGGGTCCCTCATTCCCTCATTAGTAATCCTGCACTCTGGTAAAGTAATGTAATTATCGGTGCATTATATATGTGGTTGTTGTGGTAAATCACCTCGTCTCCGAGCCCTGTGGTCTTATAGTAATCCTCTTCAATCTTCTTCATCATAGCCTGATATTTCCTGAAGCCTCCGGGCTGCATGAAGCCCTGGTACGTCTCATCCACGAGGCAATACAGTTTTTTAAGTCGTATTCTGCACGTTTCCTGTGATCGCTGCTTGTTCTGTGTCCCCAGCTTCAGAAATGTCGTCTTCATGTGCTCCTGTAATCATAACAACACGCATTGGCAGTGATGATGATCCTGGGCTGTTGCAGTAGTGTAGCGTATTTAACATGGGCCCTAGAGCAAGAATTAAAAAGAAAGGCCCCTGACAAATTGCACTCCGCCTTTCAACCACCCACTCAATCTTTCACCCAGTCACCTATCCTCCAGTTCACTCACTCACCCGCCCACAAAATTGCTTGCTTACCCACACACTCAGAATCAGAATTTGTATTTAGACTGGAAGAATCAGATGAGCTATGGAGCTCTTTTTCACAGATGTCCAGTAGGGGTGGGTCGTAAAGTTAGAACAAAAATCAATATAAATAGATAGGAATTAAAAGTATAGTAACGCTAAGCATGCAACTAAATATAAAAAAAATAGTAAAATTTGCATAATACATCAATTCCTTCCAATTTTTCAACACCAAATGCATTCTTGGGCAAGGAAGCAAAACAACAAAGTCTTAGACCACACAAGACAATACATAGTCCCTCAAAGTTGCACTCAGCCACCTACTCAATGTTATTCATGTATCCACTTTAGTCCAAGACGCTTTACAGACGTTAGTGGTTTGAATACTATAGTGGGGTTATAATTCTAGTTATGATCATAGGAGGACAAGTGGAAGTGGTTAAGGAGGGGTTGGGGTAGGAAAATTGATAGGAGTAGTGCTAAGGGTTGGGGTAATGATTGGGTTATTGACTATACTTTGCACGTGATAATCAAATGACATTCCGGTCGCATTTGGCTGAGGCTCTTTAGAATAGTACAAAACTAAATTGTGGAGTCTGCGAATGTCACACCTGATCCTCCCACAAATGTTTTCACTTGAACTTGAGTACTAACCAGCAGATGCTCCGATGTTTCTGAATTATGCAGCATTTCGTTTTGTACAAAGCACACGTGCACTGCTCGCATGCAATCTTCGAGGTTACCAAGGCTCTAGATATCTAACTTTAACTTCACTGCAGTGTACAATAGCGCATCATCAGAATATTGATGGAACTTGGTGTCATGCGATGAGATGATATCGCTGATCAGAGAGACGTATGTTAAAAATTAGGAAGGGCCCGGGGATGGACCCCTGTGGTATCCAGACTCGGCACAGCATAGGCGATTACTTTCGTCACCGAGCTTTACGAAATGTGATCGACCATTCAGGTACGACTCAATCCACCCCAGTGCTGTACCTGATACACCAAACCTTAATCTTATCTACCGATGATAATCTCATGGTCCATGGTATTGAAAGTGGCTGCGAGATCGAGGCCAATTAACACTGTGTAGCACCTGTCATCCATGATCTCGTAGAGGTCATCAGTGATTTTTTTTGTAGATCCATTTCAGTGCTATGGAACTTCCGGTACACCATCTGTAATGGGTTTAATCTGCCCATCGCAGCGATGTGGGGAACTGCTTTAGACAAAGGCAATCTATAACTTTTGAAATCCTATTCAGGTTTGAGAGATTTTTCAGGATTGGCGTTATCAGCGCCATTTTGACCTGGTCTGGGAAACAGCCCTCACTGAACGAAAGACTTTCCAGGTGGATAAGCAGTGGTGTAAGTACGTCCCAGCATGATTTGAGAATCAACGTGTGGATGTAGTTGAGCAGCAATGTCTTATTTAACATTGACACCAGGCATAGGTGCCACCAGGTTGATCAAACTCAGATGGCAGACTGGCAAAATGTGATGCCTTCAAGTTATAAACTGCCATCACTATATTATTGGCGAAAAGCGTCGCAAGTACTATGCAAAAACAGGGTTTACTAGTTGATGGGTGGTTGGATTGCAGCAGACCTTTCCTGACGTGCCACAGATCATGGGGGATGTGAGCAGACTCATTGACACGCAGAGCACAGAACGATCTGCGAGATTCAATAATGAGTTGGTTGCCAGATCTGCAAGTCACTCTGTAAGCGAGTCTGACAGTCTTGAAACCAGTTTTCTTCCAAAGACAGTCGAGCCTCCTCCACGTCTGCTTTTCAATGATTGCCACAAGTGACAGCCAGTTATGGCGCACTTTCCCCATTTTCGTTTGTGCTTGTTCAGATAGGCACGAGTTATTCAACAACAGCAGTGATGTCATATATTAATTGAGTTGCAAATGAATCGATCGCCAATGCAGGATTTAGGCATGCCAATTATGACCGGATCTTCTGATTAGAGTATCGGTATGATATCGTTGTGATGGGTGGGCGGATTATCGGTTATGCTCCTTTGCACTCTGCGATCTGCAATACCGACATCTTCGATGACGTCGCTCACATTTACTGCATTAGTGGGTGTGAAGATATGATCCAGAATATTTCCCAAGGGACATGTTGCGCCACTGACGTGCTGGGTTAAACTGTGATTGTCGATAATCTAAGCGAGATCACTGTTCATGTTACCCCAATAATCAGTGAGTCCAGCAAAGTTCAGATCACCACAGATGATGTAGCGAGAGCCAAGTGACCCACAGTCTAACAGACCAGAAAACTTGGAAAAGAATTCCAACAGCGATGAAGACGGCGGTCGATAGATGACAGCGATTGTAATCTTCCGCATGTTGTTCGTTATTTTTGCAAGCAGCAACTTGAATTAAAGGATTGTTAATGAGTTGCTCAGGACTTTCACGTAGATGTCTTCATGGTGAATCAGTGTGATCCACCACCATGCGGGCTGCCGGTGCCAGAGGGACAGTAGAGATTGGGAGCATCGAGATAATTGCACCTTGATGCCCATAGTAAAGGAGTTTCATAACATGTGTAAGCCACGATACCTCACCTTTGTAGTGCAATGCATGCATAGCCACCAGCACCCAGCTCATCCATACTCACCACCAACTCCTTCTCGTGCTTATGCTCCCGATCGAGCACAGCATGACAATAGAAGAGATCCAGAGCTTGATCCATGCACTTCTCGTGGTGCTGGTGGAGCTGCGATATTTTCAGAGGAAAGTGGACTTCGATGCACTCCATCTTCCGCTGGTAGAGTCCCTTGGCATCCTCCACTGCCTGCAGGTTGGCGAGCTGCACCACTTGTACCCGTGTGTTCTCGATGCAGACCATGTCACCAGAACGCTGAGCCGCAACGTACAGCTCTGCAACCTGCAGGAACACTGATACATAATCATCATCAGCCGTGATCGATCCACTGCAGTCACCACCTTTCACGGTCCTGCTATGTAACTCCTATCAGCATATTAACCGACTCATTGCTCCATATCCTCGATGGACGGTCCTCTCAGACACGTTCCATTTCATAGCCACCACCCCACTATTCTCGATCATCGACCATCCTTCCTTCTCGGCATTGTTCTGCCCAAGCTCGCTTACTTATGTTATTAACGTGATCTCTCTAACTTGTGTATGTGTTCTTTATCAGTATAGTTCCCAGCACGTATCTCTCTATGCTTGTTTGTGCCCCTTTAATGTTTTTGTTCAAGTATCTGAATCATATGTCACAGCTAGGAATACACACTCATTAAAAACTTCGTTCTTTAGGCACTTCAAATTAGCACCGTTGGCCACGTAGGGTGTGAAAGAAGTTCAACATACACACACATGACTTTTTATTATCAAGTAATATTTTCCAAAAGCACTGCAACCTGATCTCATCCAATATAATTTTTATTCTTGTCCGCGTTCAATAATTGTCCTAGGTACATAATACTCTACTGCGTATCTTCAATTGTTTAGCGAATGTTCTACGTGGCATCATATTTGCTGAAAAACTCCTGTTTAATCATTAATTAACCCGTTACGTCCTCAGTGGATAACATCGACTGAGCAAAGTAAATTGCAACCATGTGCAAAATAAAGTGCAACCATGCACAATGAATAGCATAAGAGAGGTAAATAGACAGTTTTTATTTTAATGTTTACATTTGATGGAAAGGCAAGTCTGAATAGGTGTGTCTTGCACAGACAATAGAATTGAGAGACACTAACACCGTCTGAGACTAGGCTGGAAAGAAAGCTGTCTCTGGTGTGGACCAATCAGTTTCAAAGACAATACATATATTATCAGAGTGTTTTTTGTTTGCATTCTGACCACAAGTATTGTGGTTCATGCAGACATGATTCCTTGTAAAAGGTTTCAGTTTGGTGTTTTAACATCTTAACACCTGTTTGTTTTGCCAGAAAAAAGGGGAAACCCTATTATCATATTTTGGTACTGGCAAAGAAGGTCCCATGATGAGAGACACTTAGTGCATTTCAGATGTCTGGTGGCAAGGTGTTCCAGATTTTTGGAGCTGCGTTCGAGAGGGATTAGGCCTTGACTTGCATTCAGCATGGCGGCTATCGCAGGATAAGATTGCCTGGTGGCGACTCTTGGGGACTGCTACACCCCAAGGTGCATGCACATGATGATGATGGTATCCTAAATGGAGAAGAACCAACAGGAGAGGCACAAGGCCCCATGAAAGAGAGACAGCTTAATGCTGATACTCCAAATCCAGCAAGAGACCTCAGGTGTCGCAATAGGTCAGTGTGACAAGGAGATAATTTGTTAACCAGACCAAAGACGTCTCCGTCCCATGCAGAGCTCTGAACTACGATTATGTTTGGTTGAAAAATCGTGTTTGTTCGATGTAAGAGGCTGTCCACCATCCTTGAAGAGAGGTGCCAATCTGTTATTTGCCTGTAAGATGTTTGAGGCAATATAAGATTTATTTGCCTCAAAAAACCACCCTTATGTAAAGCATGCTGGCAGGCACTGACAGTTTTCCAGTTATCATCGTGCCTCGAGCACCTCTAGCGCCGCTCCTCTTTCCGTAGCTGTGCATGCATATTATGGAGGTCTTCTGTCTAGAAATGCGACCGAAGGGTGTAACACTCTCATTGCCTTTTGCATGATATTCTCATTGACTTTACTCATGTACTTTCACATGCTTTTCTCATTAACTTTAACATGCTACTCTTTGTTACACATAAACTGACATTAACTTGCTACATTTTTCATTAACTTTTACATGCTTCTCTCATTAAAAAAAAAAATTCTCTTTCTCTCTCCCCCCGAGCCGTTCTTATGCTAAGTTCATTAACTTTAACATACCACGCTATTTATTACACATAGACTGACATCAACTTGCTCATCTCTCATTGACTTTAACATGATTTTCTCATTAACTTCGCTCATTGACTTTTACATGCTTTTCTCATCAAAATGGATATGCTAATCCTACATGCTAATCTGAGCTCTTATGCGCTACGGAAGCTCATTAACTTTGCATCCAACATGCTAATCTAAGTTCATTTCCTTTAACAAGCCACGCTATTTATTACCTTTACACTATAATACCTCATTAACACTACTTGGGCTACCTTTGTTCTCAAAAACTTACGTAAACTCTTGCTGGTAACAGCTTCTCTTCACAAGGCAGCAGACATCGTGCTACTCGCAGCAGACATCGTGGCTGTCGAGATTTTAACCTGAAGACGATGGTTGTGTTGCTATCGAAACGTCGTGATTTATTTTATTTTATTTCTACCTACGTGACTTACCGAAAGAAACCAGAGTACTTACTAGGTTTGTTTTCTCTTTCATTTGTACCTGATGATGATTGCTTGTGTTGCAATCGAAACGTCGTATGCTATTATTTAATTTAATTTTTTTTCTTTCTACGCGACTTACCGAAAGAAACCAAAGAGGTATTCACATATTAGAGTGTTTTTTTTTTATATTAAAGTTACTTAACACAAGAGTATGAGTGGTCCTTCCCAAGTTTATGCGTAATTATCTTTATCACAATAACTGTATCCTGTGGCGAAATCTGAATCCTGAGACCAGACATAATAACACTAAAATCATGATCAGTAAAAGTTTAAGCGAGAATCATAATCAGTAAAAGTTAAAGCGAGAATCATTGTATTATCACGATTGGCAATACACCCCTAAACAACGGAGCAAGCATCACACATACACACACAAGTTAATCACACACCGTCAAACACACACATAGTACACCCCGTAGACAACGAAGCTAAGCTTCACACATTCACACATCCACACACATAATACCCCCTAGACAATGAAGACAAGCATTACATCACATACAAATCAATCACAAATAACCACACACATAATACACCCCCGTAGACAACGAAAGACAAATAATAATACACATAACTACAGGCACACATATTGATCATAATACAAACACACACATCAGTAGCGTTATCGATTTTCACTTTCGTGCAGCAAAAATGTGGTGTTTATTTAGCTAAGCTTACGCTGTCCCGTGAGGATGACTCCATCAATGTTCTTGTACTTCACCTCCTGGTGGATGTGGGAGGTGAATTCATTGGCAACCTTGAGGAAGTCAGGCTTCAGATCTCTATCTGGAATGTTCTCCAGCTTGCTTAAGTCTTCTGGGTTTACCGGCATGGGAAACATGAAGCACTTGCGCTTCTGTAAAACAACAACAATAACACAAATAACGTCTAGTTCTCATACTTGTCTCTCCACACAAAACTTAACAGTACTTTTTTCTTTCACACACAACCCATTGAGAACACAACCTCAGAGTGCATCTCATCAGCAGCAAGGTGGATGTTGATGTGGATGCCGTGCCAGGCATCCCATGGCTCTCCCCCTCCTTGCCTGGTGCCCTTCTCTTTCCCTCATCGTCACATGGGGCCCTGTGAAATGTTTAGTGGTGATTAGGTCTTGTTGAGTCAGAAGTGCCTCCTTATTCCACTCAAAATATATGCATAAAAAATCATTGCAAACATGTTGCTTGATCAAAGAGAGAGGAGGCCGGAGTTGATGTGAACGGAGAATAAAGAGAGAGACAGTACCTCCTGCAACAACCTCGTCTCCGACTGAGTGTGTGAGACGCAACCACACACACACGCCAGGAAGAAGGAGGACACTACATTTGGTGTCAGAAGTGGGGTTCTAAAAACCCACATGTAGTGTTGTCGGGACGAGAATGGTGAGACGGTCATCCTTCCGACCGCCGCGGGACCCAGGATCTCGGTTACATTGGCTGTGGGGCAGCGAAAGAGCCACTGCGGATCGGCGCGACAGCCGGTATGCAGTTGTGGGAGACTGGCTACGCATCTGCAGGGAGAGCAGCTACACATCTTCGGGACAGTTGCTACGCATCCGCGGAGAGAGCGGCTAACATGACAAAGAGAACGGCTGCGAACTGATGGCGAGAATGGTGGCACATCGACGGGGAGAGTGAGAGCTGTGCGCCAATAGAGAGAGCGGCTGCGCACATCGATGGGGAGAGCGAGAGCTGTGCTTCGACAAAGAAAACGGCTGTACATCGACGGGAGAGTGGCTGCATGTCAACGGAGAGAGTGAGAGCTGTGCTTAGATTGGGGGATCAGTGGAGATTTTCCGCTGGCACGCGCAGACCACATGGCATGGCGGAGGACCGCCATGCAGAGAGGAGCGCGGGACGGTGCGGAGGACGCATCCCAGGCGATGGCGCAGAGAGGAGTGGCAGGGAAAACCCAGCTGGAGCTACGGGCTCCGGACGGGGTACCGTGCACATGGTGCACGCCATTTTGCCCCTGGAGGGCCTGCCGTGGCTTGCGGGCGACATTTTGAGAAGAGCGCGAGAATGCACGGAGGTGCGAAGGTTTATGGAGCTGCAAAAAGCTGCTCCAGACCTGGCACGGGAGGCTCGCACAAGATTCCTACAGAGGGAGAGAATGGAGGCCGAGACGCCTTAAGCCTTTTGGGTGGTGCTGCTGGTGCTGGGATGAGAGGCATACCTGCTCTTAGGTGAGGGGGCGCTCGACCTTTGGGTGGCAGAAAGGTTGTGGGAGCTGGCAAGAAAGCTGAGGGTTGACCTGCCCTCGACTGCAGGCACAGAGATTTCATCCTCAACGGTGGCCCGGTAGATACAAGTCTTCAAAGAACACCAGCAATGGGCAAGGTGGGAAGCTGCGACATGGAGTATGGAAGATATGATGGTGGCGGTGGGTGGCTGGGGGATGCAAGCAAGAGGATCCCCGTGGGGGGACCCACAGCAGGGGCAGTTCCATCTGCCCTGGGAACCCATGCCCAGGTGTCTCATATGTGGCCGGTCAGGCCACATCGCTGTGGAGTGTTGGGGTAACAGAGGGATGCCAGCATAGTCACCGACACCCTCCAACCCATTAGCAACGTCGACCCCAGCCCCACCGGACCCGGGTCTCTGAGGCCTATGGAGACCACCATGTGCAAGGTCTCAGGGACCTGATCCAGACAGCTCGGGAAAACAGGGCAGAGAGGGGCCACACCCTTGTAGCCGCGAGCTCCTTCTCCTTCATCCTGTCTTTTTATCCCTTGGAGTCCTGGAGGTGCAAGACCCTGCTGAGATGGGGGTGACTGGTGCTATGGACCAGATCACGTGAGCTACGTCCAGATATCGGGGGGACTCTCTTTGTGCAAAGTGTTGCCAGTTCACGGACGTAGGCGCACTGGTGAGTAAGGTGTTCCTTATTCACGGAGGGGGGCACCGAGTTGTTGAGAAAGGTTGCCGAATTGCGAGATGGGAGGCGTTGCATTTGGTGAGTGCGTTGTTTGTTTGCGGCGGGCACCGCGGTGGTAGCAGGATAGTTGAATTTTTTTTTCATTTTCGAGTTTGGTTGGGTTAATGTAAGGGGTATTCCTCCAGATTAGTTGTTTGCTCTGCCTGTCCACTGGTTGCGGCTACTGTATTGGCAGCCGAGACGGCTGTTTATTTTTGTATGGAGGGGGTGGTAATGCAGCGCCGACTGCTGTCCAGCAGTGGCAACTGCGGTGGACAGTTAGCACACACGCCGTCCAGCACATACACGGGTGTGCCAGCAGGGCGGAGGAACTGGGGCAAGGCTCATGGAAGACCTCATAGAGAGGCCCCTGGAACCCTCTGGTAGGTTCTCGAAGGGAGGCATGGCTAGGGCGGAGCCAAACCACGCCGAGTAGAATATAAGCAGCAGAGAGCGAGAGCTACAGGCTGCCGGTTCTGGGAGTGGACTCATCTCGTCGTTTATGTCGTCATCGCCGCCGCCTTTCGAGCCGCCGCCTTTCTCGCTGCCGCCTTTGCCCGGGCATTATTCGGCCGGACAGTAGTTGGCTGTCTCAGTCGATGAAGTCAGTGCAACGTGGACAGGGTTATGTCTCAGCCGGACTGTACGGCTGCATGGTTGAGAGAGAGGAGGCTGGAGTTGGTGTGAATAGAGGATAAAGAGAGAGATGGTGCCTCCTGCAACTACCTCGTCTCCGACTGAGTGTGTGCGCCGCACACCACATGCACACACACGCCTGGAGGAAGGAGGACACTACACTTGTATACCCAGGAAACCTCAGTGAGTATTTTTTCAGGAGTGTCTTGCCAAGTTGTCGTAGAAGTGGGCGGTGATTGCTTTTTTAGGAAAAAATTTTGTAAATTAATTCTTTTTTGGCAAATTTGGACCATGATGCCAGCGTACAATGACATACACTTCAAGATGATGTCACACAGCCTTTAACGTCTGCTATGAAGTAGATGGCACATATTTTTAAGGTTCATACACCAAAATAATTTATTATGGTGACCGCTGAAATCGAAACATGAGCATCTGCAACAAGTGGTGAAAGCGATACCACTCTGCCAGGGGTCGGCAACCTGGAGCCGCATGCGGCTCTTTAAGGACTGCTTCGTGGCATTATGTATTGAGGACCTCCATCTTATATTCATATACATTGCGGCTCTTGAAATATTAGAAAAACATGGCTCTTGATATTTTGGTTGCTGACCCCTGCACTAGGCCATGTCACTGTCCCTTCGAAAGGCTGTTTGCTGACAATGCATTCATTTATAATAATAAAAAACAGAATGGTGCAGGATTTCATGGTGCTGCAGACAGATCTAGACTGTCTAGTGGAGTCAACTCATATGAGCAAACTGACAATAAATGTATCTGCATTTTTGCATCAAATGTATATGTTTTGAATACACCCCGTGGTGTAGAAACTTAAGAGGTTACATACTTAGTGGTCACTCTTTTAATGACTTGCTCGGGGGTAAATATTGAATTGATTAGAAAAAGAAAATCTGATAATGAGGCACTCCCTCAAGTGCTGCTCCACATCCGGATACCTCATCAGAAGGGTCCTCAAGAAAATTAAAATAGCGCAGTAATGAGTGGCAAGAGTTGTACATTCTCTAGAAAACCAGTGATAGCATGTTGCTAAATAAACTTAAGTAGGAATAACTGTCGAGCAGGTTCAAGGAAAGCCAGACTCAAATGTGTTTGTATGTCTAGTCTTAATAAAGGACTTCAAATACTTAAATATGTGTTTTCTACAGCTTTCTTACATTGGTAGAATGGGAAAATACAAACATTAAAAACTCATTAAATGATTATATAAGTATTCTACAGCCCATGAGTGAACTGAGATCCCCTATAATCTTAAAAGGTAATAACTTTTTTTTACAAGTAAATTTGTATTATTATTACATTTGTACAGGAGTAATATGGGGACGTGACGTCGTGTGTGCCTTCCAGTGCGATGACGGAATGTGACGTCATGCGTGCTGGGCGGCTCGATGACGTCACGTCTCCTAGGGTCACTGTGGGAACAGGTAGAGTACGAAGGGTGAAGAGTGAACCAGGGGTAGAGAGGGTTCGAGTAGTGAGTCTGGGGAGAAGCCGGTGGTAGCCGATAGAGGTGCTCTCTCTCCGGTCGGTGGAGTTGGCAGAGTCCCCGAGAGAGAGACCGGAGCTAGCCGGGCAGGGACCAGGACTAAGTGTAGAACCCCTAGCCCCTGGGAGTTGTGTACCCTTGTGTGTTATTCTTAACCAGTAATAAACCCTTGGCGAAAGCCCATATGTAACGGGCGTATGTGACGCAGGAGAAGTTGATGGAGGCAACACGTATTTATTACAATTTAATTTAATACAGTAGAGTAACGACTCTAACACTCAAAGAGGTATCGGCCTTTTCACCCGGTCTATTAGAGGAAGTGTTCCCCAGCTAACGCTCCCCGTTAACTCCTTACTTCCCTCTATCCCAGACCTTCCCCAAATGTAGGCTAGCTAACCTGGCCCAGCTTTGGCGCAGGTACCGACCCTCAGCCACACGAGTCTGGCCCTTACAAGGACATCAGACCTCGCTGCTCTGAGGTCGCCCACTGGCTTGCCCTGCTCGGCTCTTACAAGAACAGCGAGTCAGGGTAGTTCCAGGTCTAGCTAGCTGGCCTTCAGTCTTCACTGGCTCTTAATCTTGATCTGTACCCCACGACTGCCTCGAGCTCTCTCGCTCTCCGTCTTATATACCAACATGCCCTCGAGGGGCGGGGCTGTGTGGGATCCCAGCCTCCCCCCCACACAGCCCCCCAGGGTGGAAACTGTTTGCGGACGTGGATGTAGACACCCCAGTGTAACTGCCCGTTTCTCCCCGTTACGTAACACCTCTACACATAACTTACCTCCGTCTCTGAGTACGTCCGTGGGAGCTTCTCTACACATCGTTGAATGCCACCAGACAATAAGTTTAAGTTCCATGAACTTAATTAATCTTGACTAAACTTAATTTGACTCTGCTGATGAGACACTGGATGTCACTTGATAGAATATATAGGAAGGCCACTTCGTTACTTTTCATTTCATAGTTTTTGTTTAGGGGAATGGTTTAGTGTTTATTTAGAGCCAGGGGTTATACTTTCTTGGTTCGGGATTACGTTTCGGGGCGTGGTCATGTTGCCTCGCCATGGGATATTCACAGCTTGTTTGCAGAGGTCCACGACTCCATTTCAGTGGCCACCCTGGCTATTAGTGCAGATGCGGGCCTCTTAAACATAACAATACTACATTCCCTCTACTTCAGGGTGGATATGAATGATGCTGTGGCGTAATTCGCAAGCGTAGGTCGTTTTTTGATGGCGTCATGGTCCGAATTAGATCAAATTAGATTTATCTTAATTTACACTGTGCATATTGGAGAGGTTGTGTATGAAACGGAGGAATGCAATTCGAGGGAATATATTTGAAAACCTCCTCCCTGTGAACATCCTGGAATTGGTATGATCTGTATTGAGAAATATCCCCGGTTAAGAGTGTAGGGGACTGTAAGGCGAAAGTGTTAGAGGGTACAAGTTGAAATAATTAAGAACAGGTGGCCAGAAGGTACTGTATAGATTATTCAATAAATAATAGACGTTGAGATGATTGGCAACATGTGGCCGAGGGGCGCCGTAAAGGGGACAGCGAAATGTACACGTTGAGATAATTGAAGACACGTGTCATATAGGGGGGTGGAGGGCACTTTCCGATCGGGGCGGGTATTTAAGGGGAGCGATGCCCGTAGTCTGGGCGCTTGCCCAGGGATCAATAAGGTGGACGACATCGGGGCTCACTGGTTGCGAAGCGACAATAGTGGAAATTATCTGGGCTGACTGATCGTGAGGTTGTAAATACGATATTATCTAGAAATAAAGACTTCACCTTTTTAGGAATGGACGTCTCCAAGGAGCTTCACAAAAGTGTGAAATGATTTGAGCTGGATTTCTTAAGTCACATGGAGAGGAGGGAGGAAGGATGAATCTGGATCAAATTGGTTTGAGTTGGATCAACTACATGGACAGAGATGCACATCGTCTATGAAAAATATGATAGAAATTTTAACCAGTGTTGTAAAAGTGTTTATGTTAAAGGGTCTCTAATGTGACAGAGGTGTGTTTATTGTCAAAAAAGACTGACGTGCCGCTGAAATCAGTGAAGGGCTGAGGATCAGTTGGAAGCGTGTACAACTCTGTTGAGAGGGTATTCAGGTGTGTATCAGGTCATGCGATAGGACTCCAAGGCACTCATTATACATATAAATGCCACAAGGACTCCAGCTTTACTTCGGGATGTATATAAACACATCTCTATCCAGCAAACACGTGCTCCGTAGCACCTGCGTCTAACCAACAGACAGCACTTTGGACCAACAAATAACTTCAAGTTTCTGAAGAGCTATTGTGTTGATACCTTGCGGTGTGGAGATGCTGGAAAAGAGGGTTGTTTATAAGCTGAATTGGCATAAACTAAGTTGTGTTAATTGCTGTGTCACTGTGCTCCTGTTTTGGTTTGAATTATCTCATGGTATGCATATATATGGAAGTGACTCCTGGTCAAATCTGACACATGCATCTCATCCATCGCGTGCTATTTCTCATGCCACTGCGGGACAGCCCTCCACTTCATAAACATGGCAGATCCCTCCTTAAAAAGAGTTGTGACACTCGGTGAGGCTAAGAATATATGGATGAATGGGTATTTAATGGAGTCTTTACCTTAAAATAGTGGCACATTAAGTGGCGCTCCTTGTTGAATGACTTGTTTGCTTCTTCTCTACCACGTTGTGTCTCTGGCTTGCGTATTTGAAAGCAATGCTCCATGTAGTCGTCGGCAGTGCAAGGCAATCCATTCAACTTCAGCGTCAGGGTGAGGTCGCGCACGCAGATGATGAGGGTTGGGAAGTACTTGTCCAGATTATCTGGGTTGTCTTCACAAGATCCTACCCTTGCTTGGACGTACTGCGCCATATCCTTTACATACCTGGATTGGAGTCGGAGTCAAGGACATTTACTGCATCATATGTACAACTCAATTATACTTTCAAACATCGCTATTGTACAATTTAATCCGAGTAGCTCACTGTGCAGCAGATTAGTTTCTGCGGAATACAGAAGAGATTGAATGACGAGCTTGAAAAATGTGTTTTGTTCATTTGCCAAATAAATACTCTGGTTATTTCGGTAAAGTCACGTAGGTAGAAATAAATAATTTATCACGACGTTTCCTTCGCAACACAAGCGATCGTCATCAGGCAAAACAGAACCCAGCAGTAGAGCTGCTGAAGAACACATCGAGAGGGCTGCTACAACAAGGGGTTATATATGTTTGAAGGGGGTGTAGCCCAAGGGTAAGCAAGCGGGGTCCGAGCTGGAACGGAGTCTCATCCCCACACGCAAGCACATCAGTTGTGTTAATGGGGGAGATTAGAGAAAGAGATTATCATGTCAAAGTACATGAGCTTACATTGCCGCATGAGAGCGCTGTCGCTGCACATGCGCACAGCAGTAGTTTTAATGGGAGATTAGCACTATGATAATGGGGGAGATTAGGGAGAGAGATTGGGGAGATTGGCAAGTTAATGTCAAGTCTATGTGTAGCACAAGCTGTGTCCAGGCCTGCGCTGTGAGAGGAAAGCGCGTCAATGCAAGTGAACAACCGCAACAGTGGCTATGTTAGTGAGACCCTAGCCCAGGGGTCGGGAACCTTTTTGACTGGGAGAGCCATAAAAGCCAAATATTTCTAAATATATTTCATTGAGAGCCATATAGTATTTTTAACGTATAATAAATTAAATATGTCTTACTTTTAATGTGACTTCTGGTCACGGGACCCGTGACCCGAGAAATTGTATCTTCAAAACTAATTTCTGTTTACTTTAAAATGACACAGTATTATTAAGCAATATCACAAGTATTTTAAAATCAGTTCCAAACTGATTTTATTTTTATTTTTTTTATTATTATTTTTTTCAACTCAAAATTGTCTGGGAGCCATATGCCGTCACCGGAAGAGCCATATATGGCTCGCGAGCCATAGGTTCCCGACCGCTGCCCTAGCCCGTTAATGAAAAGGCATCCCACAGGGCAATGCAACTGAGTCGGAGATAACAGCCAAACGGTAGGAAGGATGGAAGCATCACAGCGAGTTATGACTTACCAGGTTAATAACGTCTTTCTAATGATTGCTCAGCTTATACCCATCTTCTCGGTTGAAATTGTTTCTGTGTTTATATATTCAGATGGCTTCATGGACAAATCTTTGATGGTAGCCCGAAGGTTTGTAGAGTACCTTGGTCTCAGACAAACAATATCGTGCGAGCCCACCGCGTTATAACAATGATCAGCCACGGCAGAGGTATTGGTTCTGCTGTGTTTCAAATGTGCCTTGTGTTCGCAAACACGGTCCGAGACATGTCGTTTCGTTTCCCCAATGTAACTACTGCCGCAACCACAACTAAGTGTGTAGACACTAGGATATTGCATTAGTAACATCAGCAGGGAGGAGTGCTCTGAACTCGCTCAATTGAAAAAAAAATGACATTGTCATCCTCTCAGCCGACAAGGGCAATGCCACTGTCATCATGAAAAAAACCACATACAACATCTACATCCAGGACCTTCTTAATGATGGCAGTTATACCAAAATCAACAAAGATCTTACCAACTGCCTGGCCACAAACAACAACAATATCATCACTAATTCAACTTCTCTAATCGAACCGACCAAGAGCTCTCCCTAAAACCTACGGCTGCTAGACCACCCAGATTTTATGGCCTTCCAAAAATCCATAAAGAAGGTAATCCACTCCGTCCTATCGTTTACCACCATCAACTCGCCTACCTACAAACTGGCCTGATTTTTGTCTGAGACCCTGCTTCAATTCACGGGCCACCTCACCAGTACTTAACTCAGCTCACTTGGTTTCTCTAATCAAGGACATTTGACTGTCCTAAAATGATTTGCTTGTCAGTTTCGATGCAGTCTCTCTGTTCACCAAGGTACCTGTACCTGACACCATCGCAATCATTGAAGACTTGATCTAACATGGACTGAATCCTGATGTACCAACATTGGTGAGGCACTGCCTTACCAACATTTACTTCACCTGGAATGGTACATTCTACAAACAAAATGAGGGTACGCCAATGGGTTCTCCCTTATCACCAGTGGTGGCGAATGTTTTTATGGAGAAATTTGGAACAGATGCCATCCTGACATGCACCCTCCTTCCTTCCCTGTGGAAGAGATACGTAGATTACACTTTCGTCATCTGGCCACATGGCCAGCCAGCACTGAACCACTTTTTCAACCACGTAAATTGCATACACCCTTCCATCAAATTCACCATGGAAGTGGAAAATGATGGCAAGCTACCATTACTGGATGTTTTGATCGAGAAGAGGCCTGATGGCTCGTTGGGACATTCTGTCTACAGGAAAGCCACCCACACGGATTCCTATCTAATGCCTGATTCCCACCACCATCCGGCCTAGAATAATTGCCTCATCAAAACACTACACCACAGGGCCCGCTGCATCTCCGACCAGCGCCACCTAGCCAGTGAACTGGAGCATGTACACCAAGCCCTAAAGATGACTGGATACTCAGACCGCACAATCCGCAAAGCTGTATCCCCAACCATCTGATGACCCAATAAAAACCATCACCTTGCCATACGTAGCAGGTGCTACCAAAAATATTTCCAAACATCTTAAACAAACAAAAGATCAAGGTCTGATTCAATAAAGTACACACAATCCGTGATTTGATCCTATCTGTGAAGGATGTCATTCCTGACATGTTGTCTACAAACTAAGTTGTTTCTGCAGCAGCAGTTACATTGGGGAAACGAAACGACATGTCTCGGACCGTATTCACGAACACAAGGCAGACTTGAACACGGCAGAACCAATACCTCTGCCATGGCTGATCACTGTTATAACGCGGTGGGCTCGCACGATATTGTGTTTTCCGAGAACAAGGTACTCTGCAAACCTTTGGGCTACCATCAAAGATTTGTCCATGACGCCATCCAGATATATAAACACAGAAATAATTTCAACCGAGAATATGGGTATAAGCTGAGCAATCATTGGAAAGACATTATTAAACAAGTAAAGTCATAACTCGCTGTGATGCATCCATCTGTAATGCGAGCAAAGATTGAGGGGGGGCAGAGTCTGGGTCACGTGGGGAGTGGGTGGAGTTAGGGTCACGTGGGAGAGAGGATTTAGGGGGAGAACCGGAAGGGGAGTGGAGACGGAGTGAAACAGGAGGAGGCCACGCTGGGCAGGACGGAGAGAGTGGCGCAGTCACCACGCGGTGGAAGACGTCGACACCGTCAGCCATCGGTGTCAGACGCAGAGAGCTAGCGGCTGGGGGAAGGCTAGCTGTATACGGGGCAGCAGTGAAGCTAGAGCTAGCGGAGCAGCGGTGTGGCTGCAAGGTGGAGCAGCAGGGAGTCTGCCTAACGGAACAGCAGGGAGACTGCATATCGGAGCGGCAGGGAAACTGCATATCGGAACAGCCGAGGGGCTGTGGAGAGATCGTCGGGAGGGACGCGGGCCTGAGCGAGGACGCCGTGGTAACGAGATTCTACGAACCCAATAAAGGACAACGGAGATCGACATCTGGGAGAGAGTCCTTTATTACACATCCTTCCTACCGTTTGGCTGTTATCTCCGACTCTTTGAGTTGCATTGCCCTGTGGGATGCTTTTGCATTAACGGGCTGGGTTCTCACTCACATGGCCACCTCTGCTCCCTTAGCCTCGATGTATCGATGGTTCTTACTGTTTTATGGGCTGTTTGTCTCACTGGCATGGCCACTGTTGCGGTGGTTCTCTTGCGTTGACGTGCTTACCTCTCACAGTGCAGTCCTGGCCACATATTGTGCTACACAGACTTGACATTAACTTGCTAATCTCCCCAATCTCTCTCCCTAATCTGACCCATTAACACTATTGCAGTGCTCTCATGCGGCAAAGGAAGCATATTTACTTTGACATGCTAAACTCTCTCCACAATCTTTTTTTCCCAAATCTCCCCCATTAACACAACTGATGTGCTTGCGTGCGGAAATCGGACTCCGTTCCAGCTCGGACCCTGCTTGGTTGCCCTTGGGCTACACCCCCCTCAAACATATATAACCCCTTGTTGTAGCAGCGTTCTCGCTGTGTTCTTGAGCAGTTCTACTGCTGCGTTCTGTTTCACGTGATGACGATCGCTTGTGTTGCGATCGAAACGTTGTGATATATTATTTTTATTTTATTTTTCTACCTACGTGACCTTACCAAAAGAACCAAAGAGTATAGATCCCTGCAGTCACGAAAGTTTCAAATCAGGATTAAGGTAATACATGTTTTTTTGGTTCAATGCATACATACTCTTAGGTTTTTTCGGTAAAGTCACGTAGGTAAAAAATAAAATTACAATTAATAAAAGTAATAATAGAAATAAAATAAAATAATAAATCACGACGTTTCGGAGGCAACACAAGTCTCCGTCATCAGGTGGGACCGTCACAACTAGATTTACTGTATCAAGTGAGGCAAAAAATTCCAAGATACAAGTTCTTAAATACAAGTTAAGGGGGGATGAGGGGGGGAGGAGCTTATAAGAACTTGTATCTTGGAATCTTTGCCTCACTTTATACAGTAAATCTAGCTGTGACGGTCCCACCTGATGACGGAGACTTGTGTTGCCTCCGAAACGTCGTGATTTTTTATTTTATTTTATTTCTATTATTACTTTTATTAATTTTAATTTTATTTTTTACCTACGTGACTTTACCGCAAAAACCTAAGAGTATGAATCCTTGCAGTCACGAAAGCTTCAAATCTAGAATCAATCCATACATATTATTTAGAAATTAAATGCATTCACATTGTTTAAAAGAACAATGTCCAACGAAAAGTGTAATGATATTACCAACTGATCACGTGGTAAGCTGATGCATGTAAATTCACTCCAGATCGCCAT